TTGTTGTTGGTGTTGTTGTTGTTGTTGTTGTTGTTGTTGTTGTTGTTGTTGTTGTTGTTGTTGTTGTTGTTGTTGTTGTTGTTGTTGTTGTTGTTGTTGTTGTTGTTGTTGTTGTTGTTGTTGTTGTTGTTGTTGTTGTTGTTGTTGTTGTTGTTATTCTTGCTCTTGCTCTTGCTCTTGCTCTTGCTCTTGCTCTTGCTCTTGCTGCTGCTGCTGCTGCTGTTGTTTTGTTGTTGTTATGAGGGGGGTTTACGCCACGGTCACGGTCATGCATTCTTGTCTCAGTTGCGCCAAGCCGGCCTTGGCTCATTTCGAGCAAATCAAAGCTCCGAAAAGGTGATCACCTTTTGCTGGGTCCGCGAGGGCAAGTGAGAGTTTTACCTTCTATTTCCTGGGCAAGTGAGATAAAGGGTGGCGAGTTTTTCAGGAAACAAAAAAGGTTGAGAAAAGCTCAGGTGGGTGGCAACATCCTGGACACCTGGGCCTCTCGGATGCGGAAAGCCCTCGACGAGAGCAACGGCAAGGAGGTTGAGGCGAGGTTCGAAAGCGCCAGTCCAGGGCCTCCGTGGCGGGTGGCTGGCGGTTTGGGGGTCGTTTGGGCTGTTCTTTGAAGCACGGGTTGGTGCCGTGACGTTTCATGTCGCAAGGGGTGGAACTGGGTTCCTGTGACTTTTTTGTTTTTTGCGTTAATCAAAGTCGGGAGCTGGTGTTGGCCCACTTGAACCTATCACTTGGGTGACTTTGAGCATGGCGAAACAATGGGGGCCGAGTGTTCCAACTCGGATGTTCCGCCTTCTCAGATCCCGGACGCGCTGCCAAAGGAGACCTTGGATTCGCAGGACGGGGTCGGACAGCTGCTCCTTGCATGTGGGTGGGGCAGGTGTGTCGTCTTTATTGCTTTGAGTAGGTTTGTGCGGGTCTCGTTTCCTTGTTTTGGAAAACCTCGAAAGCTTCAGCATGTTGTGGATGTCTTTGTTTTGGTGTTACTTGAAGTTGAGGCAACGTCCATGTGGGCTGATGCTATATTTGCAGACATGGGGGGAGACTGTGAAAAACAAGTGGCTGCGGGTTAGATCGAGCAACCAAATATTAAGACGTGCGCGATGCCATCTAAAAGTTTGGGATCCGGATGTTCAGATTGTTGCAAAGGGATTTCCACTACGATATGCCCACCACAAAATCACTACATGAAGTTCGCATACCCCCCTAGATTCTAAGGTTTGGATATAGAGATTTGCTTAGAAGGGTGAGCCATTGCCCTCTTGGTGTTCAAAGCGCTTAGGTTCAAAACCATCTCGTCTCTAATCCTCGGCAATGAGGTTGTTGTTTTAGTTGGGGGAGTATTTGTTTGTTTAATGCTGTTTGGGGGATGTGAGAGAGAGAGAGAGAGAAAGAAGAAAAAAAGAAAGGGAGTTTTGACTTCCCTAAGTCCGAAAGGGAGAGAGTTCAACTCAGCCTGGCTTTCGATTCGAACGGCATTTCTGGTTCCCAGGCCCTTGTAGGAACCCCCACTCTTGAGAATGGGGGCATCAATCCTCAAACTGCTTTCCACGAAAGGGGTGCCAAAGAGCCGATGTGAAATTTCCCCTGGGAGCCCTTGTTCAGCACCCAAAGAGAGCGGGGTTCGTTGGGCTTCCGAGACGAAAGCGGATCAAGGAGATCCTGGGGCTGAAAGCTTTGGCGCGGCAGCCGCCGCGCTTGACCTGGCAAGGCAATCAAGTGCTGAGGGACTTCAAGGAGGGGCTGGCTTCTTTCCGTGATGCCTTCAACTCAGTTGTCCAAAACCGAGCTTGAAAAAAATCCGTGTCCCAAAAAAACTAACCTGCTACTTCTGGATTTTTGTGCAAATCAGGAAGTAAATGGACAAGTCATTTGGAAGGCTTCCATTGGCATCCTCTTGTACCACAGATGGTTTGAGAGCTGTAAGATGCGAATGGCATTTGGATAGTTCCAAAGCTGGCACAGCCTGTTGCACACTTTGGGGTTGCTGTCCAAGCTTGGAGGAGGGGCACGCGGGGGACATGAGCTGATCGCCCCAAATTCGAAGCCTTACCAGCCACGACCTTGTGCCTCGCAGTCTCGTCCCCGCTCTGCCCAGATTTGGAAAAAATCATACCCACGGGTTTCCTTTGGCTTCCCTTTACCCACCAAAAGGCGGGCGAGAAGCACATATCCTTTAAGGAGCCCCCTTCAACCGCAGGAGTTCCTGCAGTTTGGCGCGTCACGGCTTGACCCTGAGATCTGCGAGGCGCGGGCGGGCGATCGATCCGCGACATCAGGATGCGCGGTAGCCAGAGGAATTGGGCGAGAAGCCCAGGTCCGAGCATTCTTCGAGTGGGCCAATTACATATTTTGTTGTTAGCTTCCTCACGCTCACGCCCCAAGAAACCTGATCTAGCTCCACTCGTCACTGTTGCGCACCAGATTCTATCAGGCTCATCAACTCTTTTATGGTGCACCCTTTGATCGGTTTTCACCTTTGGCTTCCCTTTGGAGCCAACCAGCCGGGGGGGTACGCGAGCCTCGGAAAAAGACGGTGCCACCAGTGGGTTCCGCAGGGCCTGGGGCGGCTCAACGAGTCCCAGCGGGAGGCCGTGAGCGCGGCGGTGCAGCGCACGCTGACGGTGATCCAAGGACCTCCGGGCACTGGCCGCTCGGTCGATGGCTCGGTCAGTCAGGTCGGGGGGGGGGGCGGGGGCTGGGTGGTTTGGCGGTCAGGTCGGTCGGTTGGGTGGGCAGCCTGGGGTGGTTTGTCGGTTGGTGGGTTGGGTCAGTCGGTCGGGCGTTTCTTTCGGCATTCTGGGGGGGGTGGGGGATTGGTGTGGCATTCCCCGGTTGGAAAGGGAGCTGTTGAGCTGGGGGTATCCAAACTTGCCAAGGGCTAAAGGGCATCATTATGGATCTAGGAGCTCTAGTTTTTTGTTTGGGCTGGATCCCTTGTTTGGGCTGCCAATGGATCCGCAAGGATATATTTGCGGATTTCCCCTAAAGGATTCAAATAGAGGACGGAGAGTTGCATATTTTGTCCAGACGCCCCAGTTTTCGCTGGGAGTTTTTCTGGTGATGTTTTGTGAGGAATTGATGGGAAACTGTATTTCAAAGCTCAGGTAACCCCTCACTGGTGGCATGGATTGGTGGCTTGGGGATTTGAATCCCTGGTGCTTGCATTATAGAGGGCAAATGGGAAACCCCTCCTCCAATCCACCAACTAGAGGCAAGCTGAAGGACTGTTTCAAAGGGGCTCGGGCCCGCTGAGCAACTGTGGGACGCTGTTTTATTGTTTCAACCGCAAATGAGTTCATCCCAACCTAGGGAAGAACCCCGCGGTTCGGCAAAAAGGCGAAAGGCGATGGAGCAACCATTGACCCACCGATTTGAAGCTGAGAGTCAGTGCGAACTGCCCTAACACCCTTGGGATGGAGGACACAAGTTCCCCTGCCAAACATTCGGTGTGTGAAAAAGACAATTTCGCCTCACCAAAACATCAGAAAAGTTGGATAGCCGATTTCACCGAAGCTTGCTTTTGGTGGGTCCAGTTGCTGGTTCAGGGGTGGGGAGTTTTGGTGATTTTGCCAAGAGGTTGTTCTGACGTCTTCGGGCCGTTTTTTCATGTACGAACCAAGCTGCTTGCTACCATACCAAAAGTTGGAAAGTCGAGCAAAAGGCAATGGAGACTGGATCATACCGTCAACAAGCATGGTTCTTCGGGTTCCATTCCATACAAGCAATCCTTTTATACCCATCGCCGTCTGCGTTTTGTTGTTTTGTTTCTTTCTTTCTTTTTTTGGGGGGGAGGGGTGGTGGGGGGCGCAACCCAAAAGCAGGGCCCCTCCAATCCAATTGATGCGATTGATGGCAGGTGCCTTTAGCACTCGCTGTGCTTGACCTGCATTCCGATCTTCGATTTGCTGAAATGAGTATGTTGGTTTTCCCTTGTTGGTTTCAAAGGGAATCTACCCTCTCCACTAACATGGAACCTGACTGAGGCTCCTGGAAGACTATGTTCCCTTGAAATGGACCCTCCGGCGGCTTCCATGTTTGTGGATGGGAGGGTATCGCTTCTGGACATATTTTTCCTATTTGTTCTCCAGCTCGCCCATCAGGGGTCCCTAGATGTCTCTGTTTGGTGGTTGGAAACATGAAAAAGTGGCTCATTTGAGGAAAGTGTCCCTAGGGAGATTTGTTAAAGAGCTTTTTGTTGGGAATGCTTGCAGGGTAGTGGAAACCATCTTTAGCAACTTGAAAAAGGAAGCAGTGCAAGTGGTGTGCGCCGGTTGTGGCTTTCCTTCCTTCCTTCCGCCTAATAATCAACATGCCCCCCGGTGCTCGTGTAAATGGGTTCCCCCCTTTCCGGGCCCATAGCAACTTACGAGTAAAGAGTTGTTGTTTTTCCGCAGCTGAAATCGAATGGGTCATATTTCGAATTTGTGGTTTCGAATTTGTTGAAGACTTAGTTTAGCATCCTTTTAGTATCTTTCTCAAGTGCTTTCTGATACGGCTGGAGTTGGGCCGTGGACTATTTAACTTCCTTGGGGGTGGCTTAAGCATGCTCCAAATCGACCGCACTTTTCGCAGCTCGTCTGAGGTAAGACGCATGTCTCCGTGGAGATCTTGCGCATGTGGGCCCGGATGGGTGTTGGACCTGTGCTCGTGACCTCCCACAACAACATCGCAGTGGACAACATCGCAGAGAAAGCGCGCCTTGCAGAAAACAGTTTAAGAATTTCTGGATGGTTTGCGGCAAAGAGCGGGGAACAACACGCGTGTCCGTGAGAAGAGAGCATGTCACGCCATGCGTATGTTGGAACTCTTGGAGTGGCGAGGGGCTTGTGCCTGTGATGGAAATGGCATAGGGAAACAACCAAAGCCCCCCCCAAAGCCACAACACAGGAAAGCTTCTGTGAAGGTTGCGATGGCATGGCCTGGCGAATTGCCATGACCAAATCATCCCTCTTGTAGGACCCCCAAACACACCCACAGACACGCACAGACAGACACAGACAAACACACACACACACACACAGACACGCACAGACACACGCAGACAAACACACACACACACACACAGACACACCCGAAGTCCCCTTGAAAACACTAACATAGACCAAGGGAAGTGTGTTTCTGGTGATGATCTTGCCGGAGTCTTTGTCGGCGAAGTCGGGTTGTGCTTTGGCTCGAGCCAAGGTACGCCCAAGGTCTCAAGGTGGTGCGGATGGCGAACCTTGGCGCGGCGTCTTTTTGGGATAGCACCATGGGCACGTCGCTGGTTTTGGGTGCGCGCGCCCCTCCCGCATGGCACCTGTGGGAGGGCATCGGGAAGATCAGACGGTTTTTTTTTGGACTTGTTTTTTCCTTCTGGAGGGGCCATTCCCTGTGAGGTACCAAGTTCGTGGGAGAGAGTGTGTTTGTTTTGTTTCGGAATGGATTTTAAAAGAAGCCAAAAGGACACCACTCGTTGTTGTTGTTGTTGTTGTTGTTGTTGTTGTTGTTGTTGTTGTTGTTGTTGTTGTTGTTGTTGTTGTTGTTGTTGTTGTTTTTTTGTGGGGGGGGATTCCTGTTTTGAGCCACGCCCACCTGAAACTCACCCCCAACATGTGCACCGGGTGAAGGCGCAGCTTGAGGTGCCCGCACAGGGATCTCAACGCGCCATGTGCAGTTTTCTGAGAATGGTGTTCCCCCTCCCCTCTTGCTTGGTATGGGGGCCGCAAAGGAAACCAAACATTGTAAGTAACAACAGATGGTTGGCCCTCCCCCTTTGCCTAATGCTCTTGTTTAAGGTGTTTGTCAGGGAACGCCGTGGCTTGCAAGGGACATGTAGTGAAGCTCAGCATGCAGGCTTTGAGTGCTGCTACATTGGCGCACACAGCCCCAACGCTCGTGAGCCTCCGGCACAGGTATGACTTGCCCAAAGCAAAGCAGCCTTCTGACCTTTTAGCCGTTTTGGTAATTCGTTATTTCTGTACCCAAGCTTTGTGGTGAATTTCCCATTTCCCCGGGGGCCCGGGGGTGGTGTGTTTCTGGGCGTGCAAATCTCAGGCTCACAAAACCCAAGGATAAAATGAGCTGCACGATGAAGGTCCAGTAAGCTGGAGGACTCCACAACTTCCAGTGAACTCTCGGGACTTGGCCAGATGGTGTCTTTTTTGCAAGGGACCCCCTCCAAAATTGCAGGTGTCCTGTACCTACTCCAAAAAAGAAGTAAAAGACGAGGTATTCACCCAGATTCGTTTGCCCCAAGATGGGCCGTGTCCCAAAATTTTGGCTTTCCCGGTGCCAACTTAACTAGACCACGGTTGGCCCGAAAGCAGAACATCGCAAGCGAGGTCGGCCCAACGCTGCAGGATGCGTTCTTTTTCCCTCACGAAGCATTCGTGAAGCAAGCGCGAGACAGCACCAGGCAAGGTGCTCTGTGCAAGTTGCTCTGTGCAAGTTGCTCTGCGTAAGTTGCTCTGCGCAAGTTGCTCTGCGCAAGTTGCTCTGCGCAAGTTGCTCTAGGCAAGGCGCTCTGCGCAAACTGGTCGGTGCAAGTTGGTCTGCGCAAGTTGCTCTGTGCAACTTGCTCTGCGCAAGTTGCTCTGCGCAAGTTGCTTTAAAATGCAAGTTGCATCTTTCGACGCCCGCCCGCAAAAAATAGTAAAAGGAGAATTCAAAGAATTATTCTTTCTACTATTTTTTCTCCAACAGCAACACAACAAACAGAAAACAAAATCCAGAACAACAAGCAAACAAAATAAATAATCACAACCAGCAACAAAAATATTTAATCACAGCATACAACATTAAATAATTCAAACAAGCATACCAACAAAACAGCAACACTCTAAATCATCAAAGAACCCAAACTCAAAAACACACATCAACAAAAAAACAAAGCAACATACCAACAAAAAATATCACAAGAGTATCAAACAAAACAAAAACAAACAGCCAAAGCACGAAAAAATTGAAGAAGCATACCAAGTCTAAACAACGCACTTTGAAAGAGATAAGCAAATTATAATAATTGAATCTTTACAAACGATAAATATATTACAATTATAACATATAATATTTTACATGTGATAATTATAGTATGGTTGAGAATTATGGGTTAAACATAAAAATCAGCTATTTCTTCCAACATCATTATCTTCAGTGAATAGCACCTCATTTAACTTGTCAGCAATTTCCATTTCAGAAACCCTCGTTTCCATTTCAGAAACCCTCGTTTCCAAAACGGAAACACCTGTTCCAAAAAGCCATTTCCAAAACGGAAACACCTGTTCCAAAAAGCCATTTCCAAAATGGAAACACCACTAAACATGTATTATTTCCTCATCCGAAATACCACTCTGAAATGTCCTGTTTCCAATTAGGAAATACCAGTTTCCAATTAGGAAATACCAGTTTCCAATTAGGAAATACCCGTTTCCAATTAGGAAATACCAGTTTCCAATTAGGAAATCCCAATTTCCAAAATCTGAAACCAAAGTTTCTTGATTGGAAACCACTCAGGAAATGTCAAACTCATCAAAGTTTCCAATATCAAACTACTAGGTATTTTATATAGGTCTTCTTGCTGAATAATTCTAATAAAATCATATTATTAGAATTACTTAGATTTAATTATTCAAATAATACATATACTCCATCATCATTTTTTGTAATTTTATAAAACTCTAATGTTTGTTGCTTTGGTTGTTTGATTTTTCCTGTATTCAACATATCACAGTATTTCTTTTGCTTTGTAGGATAATCACCCGTTGGTCTTCCTATAGATTTTGCTTGAAATATCTTTTCGATTTTTTCTTTATCTTCATTGCGTTCAACTGGTTTCATTTTGTCATCAATCGATTTAATCATATCATTTAAGGTTTTGATATTTTTACCAATTAATGTTATCTTCTTCATTAAATCATTAATAGTATAATTCTCATTTTCAGACATTACTATATATTTATTTAGATAATTATTTATTTAATTATACGTTTTATTATATAATTTACCTGAATAATTTAATGTTATATATGTAAATAAATTATATTCTAAGAGTCTTTCACCAATTTTATTTTTCAATTTTATTAAACCTTCATCGTTACCTGTAATTTCAAAAAACTTCAACATTTTATCAAATTTATCCGGTTTAGTTATACCTTTCATAAAATATTTATTATTGAATTTAGCATCTAACCAATAAAAATATTCTATACTCAATTGTCTAGCAAAGTTTTTATCACCATCGAATATATCATTAATTTCTTCATCATCAAAAGTTATAATTCTATGGTCTTGTCCATTCATAGTTGGCATTATGATTATATAAATAATTGGATATTTATTTAAATATTTATTTATTTATATTTATAAAGTGCAATTATGTTAAATCTACTCTTTAAATACTAATTTTTCATGATTTGTTTAATAGTTTCCTGAGTTTCCTTATCACCATTTCCCGAGAGTGATACATCCTTACCCCATTTAAAAGTTATACTATGGACATCAGTTTCTAAGTTGATACTGTCTTTAGTTTTATCAATACTCATTTTCTTATCATTTTTACTTATTTTGAAACTTGTTGGAATACATGAACATTTACATTTTTTATTATTTTTTATTTCTAATTCATTCTTAAGTTCTAACATTCTTTTGCATGTAGGACAAACAACCTCAATAACTGATGTTTCTTTAACAATTTCTCCGCTATCTTCATCTGTTGAAGAAACACTTAAACCTATCTTATTCTTTTTGGTTTTCTTTTTTGGCATTTATATTAATATGTATATTTTTAATATATTGTATCAAAAACTTAATTAATTCTAAAATAAAATAACATATTTTTTACATCTATTATCAGTTATTAGTACTTGTTCTATATTCTCCATTTCATCTATTATATTAATATAATCTGTATAACTCCTTTTCATATTAAATAATAAGATAAATTATTTTTCATTTCTGTCTTTCTTTTCTTGTACAACTTGATAGAACTTGATAAGTTCTATCAAGTTCTAGAACTCTAGGAAAAATGGTTCTTTTTCCTAGAGTTGTACAGTTTTTTCATTGTATCGTCTTTATTCCATCTATATTCTACAAATTTTTGATGATGCTTTGAATTTAGGTGCTTAAATAAATATTTGCTATCATAAGTTTTACAACAATTACAATGGATAACAGTCATATAATAATAAGATAAAATAATTATTTAGATTATTTAATCTTATTATTTTCATGCATTTTAGAATATTAGGAGGGCTCAGCACTGGGGTTTTCTTTACAACGCATCAAACTAATTAGCTTCAATACTTATTGATTGTAGCAATGGAAACCTGTTCCATTATGTTATTCACCGCCACTCATAACATAATGATGTTCCATTAATATTAAATAGAATATTTATTTAAATTATTTTCTTTAGTAAGTTTTAATGCAGTTGGTATATCAACATCTAGAATATTATTATCAATAACTTCTTGCACACTATTTATCATTTCATTTGTATACATATCGGGATAATCTTTCATAAAATTTACTAATTTATTATAATTTAGGCCATCCTCGTTTTCGATTGATGATTTAGATATTATAATATTTTTATTTTTAATCATAGCTAAAAACCATAAAATCGTATCGTAATAATGTTTGCCAATGTCTGGAACTACAACATCACCGAATTTACATATACCCCAAATACTAGTAACTTCACTTAAATTAATAGATTCTATTGTCATTATGATATAAGTATATTATATTTTATTATTTTATAAGTATTTATAATATTATTTATGATTGATATCAAACCGTACAAAACTAAAGAATATAATAGTAAACAATCACGACATGATCATGTAGGTAAGTTACCTGCGAGACAAATATTCGCGGCGCCATCGGGCGTTGGTAAAACGGTCACATTAACTAATTTAATATTAAATGTTTATCGTGATTGTTTTGAAAAAATATTTATTTTTAGTCCGACAATACATTTAGATAATAACTGGGATACAGTAAAAGATTATATATCAAACAAATTAAAAATAAATCATACTGAAGATGATCCCGTATATTTTGATACATTTAATGAAGAACAAATGAAAAATATTATTGATACTCAAGAAAAAATAGTAAAATATATGAAAGATAAAGATTTTTCAAAAATTTATAATATTGCTATTATTATAGATGATTTTAGCGATAATAAAGATGTTGCTAGAAAAAATAAAGAACTTGTAAGATTGTTTGTA